GCTGGTGAGAAGCTGCTCCCCAACTCAGCAGAGCCAGGGAGACTGGGGGGCTGACCTGAGGAAGACCCTCCACCCTGTGCTCTGGGTGGACTTTGGCCCTAGCCTTTTTAACCTCAGACTCAACACTCAGACTTAATGCTTTTTTGTTGTCTGACTTTGGGCAGACTGGGGAGAGGGGTGGGCCATGAAGGGGGCTATGGGACAAAGGGGCAACCCTGGCCATGGGCCACCCCCGCCCCAACGTGTATGAAACCTCTTCCAAAAAGCCAAATGTGCCCCTGCATTCTCACCCCTGGGTCTCTGCACACAGCTCTCCCAGTCTGGCTTTTTTGACATTTTCTGACTCCACATCCTTGTTCTTCCCCCTTCTGCTTCTCAACAGAGATGGAACCTCCCCCAAGAGGCTCTAAGTCCATAAGGGCAGTGGGTCACCAAGGCCACCCCAGTGCAAGGTGAAGACCCTGAGAAGGGGCTGGGAATCCTCACCTCGGCCAGAGAGAACTTGTCTGCCTGGGTCAGGAGCAGCTGCTTGAACCTGGGTGAAGTAGGGAGAGCCTCGGGTGAGTAACCACGTGGGGAGCAGGGAGATGGGGGGATGAATCACCCCTGGTCCAGGTGGTCACCTCTCAAAGAATAGAGAGGGCCCCAAAATACAGGCAGTCACCCTCATAAGGAGCCTCACACCCCTACCTCTGGCATGGTGCCCCTCCCCTCATCCCAGCCAGTCCTACTTACTCATCCTTGTTCACTACCCCCTGGCCACTGGGGTCAAACATACGGAAGGCGCTCAGGATGGCTTCCTCAGGGTCTGTCCCTGGGAGGCCAAGAGAACCAAGTAAACCCCCATACCCCCAGTCTCCCCAGCCCCATCCAGGAAGGACCCAGGGTACAGGGTCTATATCCCAGGAAAGGTAGGGAGGGGGATTCTCAATACAAAATGTCCCTCAGAGTTCAAAGAAACAAAGATTAGCAATCCTCCTGAGGTGCAGGACTGGCCAGGAAACTAGGATTTGTGACTTGGGCAGGGAGGCAGAGGCCTATTTCCCAACCCAGAGTCAGGACCAGGAGTGACAGTACCCATGATGTGCAGGGGTGGGACTATGCCTCTGGAAGGGCAAGAGGTCTGGGTAGGATCCTGGTGGAGTCCAGGAGTGGTCTAGAAGGGGTTCAAATGGGATCCAGGCAGGGTCCAGGTGGGCTTAGGTGGAGTTCAGTGGGGGCCAGATGGGGTTCAAGCTCACTGTCCAACCAGGGGAATCCAGACCTGCCTAGGCTCACCATTGAGCTTCTCCCCAAAGAGTGTGAGGAAGACAGTGAAGTTGATGGGGCCCTTCCCCTCCTGCAGCATGGCATCCAGCTCCTCATCCGGGACACTCACCTTCCCTGGTCAAGTGGGGCATTAGATAGGCACAGAGACCCTGGGCACCCCAAGAGGGTCCAGACTCCCCTGTCCCTTTCCCAGACCCAGGGTAGAGAGTCAGAGGCAGTTCTAGGGGAGGTGAGGCAGAAGGAATGTGTGACAAGCAGGGGGAGGGAGATGTGAGGAGACAATATGAGAGGCGGAGGGAGGTGTGAGCAGCAAAAGAAAGTGATGGTGGGCCTATCTCTGGGGACTTCCGCTAGCCCAGCAGCTGGGCAGGCAGGGTGTGCAGTGGGGGTACTCACCGAGCTGGGAGTAGGTCTCCCGCAGATCTGACTTACAGATAATGCCATCACGGTTCTGGTCGATGCAGCTAAAGGCCTGCGAGGTGGGAATCTCTAGTTGCGCGCAGCCCCATACCTCAGGGAAGGTGGAGTAGGAGGTGGGGGAGTCCAAGGTAGAGGGGGAAGCAAGAATTGGACTATTGGGGGTGGGACACTCACTTCCTTGAACTCCTGGATCTGGGCTTGCTCGAACATCGAGAAGACGTTGGAAGAGCCTCGTTGGGTCTGCTTGGTAGCTGCAGCCTTGCCCCGCGTTCCCGTCTTTCTGCTGGCCTGCAACACTGTGGGTGGGGAGGGGTCCTCTCCCTGGGTCCCCAAAGGCTCCCCTCCATACACACTCCCTCAGCATTCCCAGGAGAGCCTGGGTCCTTTTCCTGGAAGTCAGTCCTCTGGGCCCAGTGCAAGCACAGAAATGTCTGTCTCTGCTTCTCGAGCCCAGAGGACTGTACCCGGGAGGCCGCTGGCTTTGTAGCCCCTGGAACTCACCATCCTTCCTCTGTGGCAGCCTGGTTGCCCACAACCTCCAGACCCCCTTTATGTCCCAGCCTTATCACCTGGAAGACCAAATAAGGAGTGGAGGAGAGGACAGGCCCAAACTTGGCAGTCCCTGCCTGGGCTGGGGGAGGACAGGGCCCCAGGCAAATTCCAGACACATTCTTGGTGACCTTCAAGGCCCTGATGTGTTATATCTGGTGTCCACCGTCCCAGTAGGACTGCTGTGATGTCTCCCAAGAGCTGAGCAGGCTTAAAGCTCTCACCAGTCTAGGTGCTGAATGAGGAGTGCCTGCTAACTGCCTCCCACCTCACTCTTCTCCTGCAGGTCCAGCCCAGAACCAGCCCAGTTCAAAAGGACAGCTGGGGGAGGGCTGGTCCCAGACTTGGGAAGGCAGTGAGTGATAATGAGGATGAGCTCTGGTCTGAGACCCCTCTGGCCTGAGACCCCCCCCCCCCCAGGGATTTCCAGAGGTTTTGAAGATGCTCAGCATTGACCTCTGGCTTATCTGACCAAGGCCAGAAGGCAGCCCTGAGCTGACTGTGATCCCAGCAGAACCTGTGGGTGATGCTTCTAGAGCATAGAGCACTGCCTGGATCCCAAGCATCCCCTTGGGTCCCATGAAAGTGGGCCATGATTCCCTCAGTGGGGCTCAGGTACAGAGTGAGTGGGCTGGGTACCCTCTACTGCACCAGAGAGGTAGCCCTCTGGCTCATTAAGGGCCCAGAGTACAGGGGGCTGTGACGCAGGGGGCTTCTGGAGCAGAAGTGCCACTGGCTGCCCCTTGAACCTGGAATAGGAGTAGGTTGTGGTGGCCTTCAACCTGGCTCTGCAAGGTTGCTCTGTCCTACTGCCCCTCTGCCTGGGGGACTGAGTCTGCCCCTGGGGAGAGGCAGCTGGCAGAGGAGGTATTCTCAGCCATCAGACCCAAAGCCCCTTCTATATAATGAGGAAGTATTTTATGACACCTCATTTTCTGCTAAAATGAAATTCATAGACTATGACCCACCTACATAGAGAATTTCTAAAAATCAATACAATTCCCTAAAGGAAAAACAGGCAATAATTTACATTAAAATGAAATTCAGTGCATAAATGCTGGAACATGAGTACATTAGGACTGACAATGAAGTGATCAGATGCTCACTCACGATGAGTGAGAGTCAGAGAGTGAAAATGCTCAGATGCAAGTCCACATGAGAAATGCCAGAAAATGAGATAACATCTGGGGTGGGGTGGGGGGGTGGAGGAGGGTAACTGTCCAAAATCACATCTTTGGACAAAGTTCAGAATGAAACAAAGCATTCATTCCTGATTTGCTGGGTAGTTTCTCATTGAAAAGTAAGTGAATGTTAAAATCATGAATATGTGTTTTTATGTAACTGGGTTAAAGTGTAAGTTGGCATTAGGCCCTAGGCTTGGCTAACACTAACTCCAGATCTCAGAAATCACTGTGATGCCTTATGTCCTGACTGCCTCCCCCGTCACTGTCAACAACCCAGTGAGCATTGAGACCCCCTGCTGAGACCTACATGCAGCACCACCAGGATCCCAGAAATGTGCCCTGGCCTCCCACCCCATCATGGGGCTCTCCAGGACATCAAAGTTGCTGAACGATAAGAGACTATGTATTCACATACCACATCTTACGAGTGGGCGGGCAGGGTCTTTGGAAAATCCAGTACCTCTGATGGCCCCAATCCCCAAATGCCACCCCATTGCTGTTTCTACAGTTACTGTTCACACTCCCCCACAGAGCCCACTGGAGGGGACAGGAAATTCTAAGTTGTGCTTAGGTTTTTACAGAGTATCCATGCCTATATATTGTCCCACAGCCCTTGGACACAGATGCCAAAGAATGGTGGACAAGGCCATGTTCTAAACTTTTAATTAAAAAAAACATACACACAGTCCCAGGTTGGGCATTGAGAGAGTGGTATGGCACGTGGAGGCTGGTGAGAGGAGAGCAGGCCAAGATGTTCTCTTAGGGTGTGCTGCTTGGGCTTCTGTGTAGTGTCATGGGAGTGGAGGACTCCATCTCTGAGGGGCTTGCAGACCTGCATGGGGTGGGGGTTGGGAGCTCCTGGGTGACGGTGGGATTCTGGAGGCTCTATCTCTTGTACTCCCTGTGAGGGTTCATCACAGAACTACAACTACTCAAGAATGGCGGTGTGAGAGGGACCTTGGGGTACCCACAGCCTCCAGAGTGGAGCTGGTCTCTCTCATTTCCCCCAGGAGCCCTGAATCACAGGTAAAAACAATGACCAGGCCTGAATGGATGGCCAGCAGCCCACAGGCCCCTGTGGAGCCCAGGTCTGGGTCTGACCAGGTCACCGGGGCTGCCTGCCCATATGGGCTGAGTTCCCAGGGAAGTCAGGCCACAGCAGGGTCCAGAGGGCACCTCCATCCCAATTGTGGTTGAACCAGGGGGAAAGCCCCAAGACATAGGGAGTGCAGAAATGCAATATAGTCCTGAGCTATTCCCTCTAGGTAGTTGATTGTAGCAACATAAGTTCAGGGACTATGGGCATCTCCATTCCTGCTCATATCAGCTTTCAACCCAGGGCTCTTAGCGGTCCCACCAACTGACTGTGAAAGAAGAGGCCTGCTGGGGTGCTCCACATTCCCAGGGGGTGAGAGCTTTCCCCATCTTCTGGGGTGGCATCTGGGATGGGAGATGTCCAAGGTCCTTATAAGAGGCCTCTTGATCGGTCCAAGCTGGGAGCACCTGTGGGGAGCATTCTCCCCTGGAGCCCGGGTCCAGTGGCTGCGCAGTCTCCTCCTTGCCCAAGGGCCTCTGTTCTCACTGCCCCAGCATGCAGGCCTTCTTACAAGCCACCGCGGAGACCAGGGCTGCACCCCGGCCACTGCCCTCCTCCGACTCGATGAAGGTGATTTCGCAGCTGGGAGTCAGCCTGCGCACGCTGGCATGGAACCGCTCCTTGAAGCTGAGCAGAAGGGACGGAAGCAGGGCGTCTGTCCCAGACAGCCTCACCCCTGCCGCCCTCCAGAGCTGTTACAGGCATGCGGAACACAGCGGTAAGGGTAAGCCTAGGGGACCATTCCCCCATCCCCAAATACCCCTAAGAGGGACTAGGAGAAAAGAATCCCTGTAATTGTGAGTCCAAAGGCCTTGGGTGAACATCCATTCCGGTCTTCATTACATAGGTGGAGACTAAGGACTGTCCTCTGCCCTCAGGGCACGCACACACGCACAATTGGGGTGCTGATCCTGGGCGGGGTGGGGCAGATGGCTCACCTGGGATGCAGCTTGTACACGGAGCCGTCCACCCCTACGGTGATGCGCATCACGTCCTCGCTGCGACTCTCTCGCATGCGGTTAATGACTCCTGCCAGTCCTGCGGCGCACATGTGCGCGGCGCGAGTGGACACGCTCTCACAGGCCCGGCGCACTATGTCACAGTCAGTGGCGGAGGGCCTCAGTCCCAGTGTGCTCAGGATGTTGTAGATCTGCTTCCGGTCTCCTGAGTCACTGCGGGCCAGGGATGGAGGAGGGAGGGCATTGCTAATGGATCACTCACATATACACCCCCAAGTCCCCCCCCCCCACAGAAACAACCCTGGAGCTGACCTCTTGGCTGCCCCTTTGCTTCCCCCTGCCCACCTCACCCAGGTAAAGCACTTGGGGCTGGGGATCCCGAGGAGAGCAGGTCCGATTCCGTCAGGAACTAGCGGTAACCTATGGCTCTCTGTAGCCTACTTGAATGGGACTCTACTTGAATGGGACTACACGGCCATGTCTCAGGGCTATTTAATGGCCCCATGGCGACATCCATGGTGGTGGAGAGGTACCAGGTGCCCCACCCCAGGACTTCACCTCCTCCTGGGGCTCCCTTCCCCATGTCTACCCTCCCTGGGGCAGGACCCTCCAGCCCTGTCCACTCCTGTCCATTCCTGAGCCCAGTCTCCTACATTACTGTCCATCCAGAGCCCCTGCCCCCAGGCGGTCAACTGTACCCACACCCCTGGCCCCCAGCTGCTGCCCTGTCCCGCTCCCACCTCGCACCTCTCCACCTGCGATACAAAGCGTGTCTCGAAGGCACCTCGTGTTCGCAGCTGCTCCGAGGCCTCCCCGTGGAAGAGCAGGTTCTCATCCACGAGCTTCAGCAGCACCAGCCGCACCAGCTCGCCCATATACTTGCCCCCGATGAGCTTCTCAAACCTGGACAGGAGTGCTGGGTTTATCCTCAGCAGTGCAGAAGGACCTCTGGGAGGTCCCCATTCCCAGGCACCACCATCCCTCATCCAGGTCACAAGGAAGCCAAAGTAAGAGCAGTGACAATCCTCCTTGCCAAACCAGAGTTCCCGACGTTTCCTCATTTACCAGTTCAGGTTAGGAACCAGGGTGGGAGTACGCGGTAGGTTGATGGACCTCTGAGGCCGCTGGCGCTCAGCTGCACTGAGCTCCTGGCAAATAACTTTCTGCCTTGGACCTCCCACAGCCTTGTGATGGGGTGCGATTCTCCTTGCTCACTTACAGTTGGGGAAACTAAGGCTCAGAGTGGCTAATGACTAGCCTGGGGTGCACCTCTGCCGCCTGGCCAAGGCTCCTAGGCCCAGCTTTCCCTGTCTCCACAGAGCTATAGAACTCTTGGTGCCAGAAATCCGGGAACCTCTATTCCCATCTGGTAGTCCAGGAATGCTGCTGCCCTAGCAGAGGTTATAAGAGTCAGAGATGGAGCTAAGGAGAGAATTAGCATGTGCCTGGCATGCAGTAGTTTCTTAGTAAAGGAGCCATGATTCCAGACAAGCTGTTATGCAAACCTGCAGCTTTCCACAAGGTACTGAAATCCGGCCTTCTGTGAACAAGGAGATATCTATATCTATATATACAGGTATGCGCACACACATACACACACACAGAAACACACTTTGGGCAACTGTTCTAAGTTCAACCCACTTTATGCTGCTGGGAGTGCCTCAGAGCCATCGGTGTAGACAGCAGCCACCTGCTGAAAGTGGCGAGGTCCCAGTTTATCTACCCACATGAAAACCAAACCCCCAATCCCTCACTGTTCCAGATCACAGAGGCACAACACGTGTGTGCTGAAGGAAGAGAGCAGTTACAGCACTTTACAGAGGGATCGTCAGCTTGCTTTTCCCTGGAGCTGTTAAAAACAAGCCCATTATCTGCGAGCCCCCGTCTGCCTGGCTGAGCAGAGCCATGCCAGGAAGAGGCAGTCCTTACAGCTGCTGGCCTGGGTTCAGGGAGTTCTCGTCCACCACCCGGTCATATTCCAACAGGAACTCGTCCAGCTCGCCTGAGTCTCCAAAGGCTCCCCACTCAGTGTTGACGCACATTCGGCCCTCGTCTCCTTCCACCAGCTCTACGTTCTGCATCTCCTCCATGTAGCAGGCATTACAGCCCGTGCCTGTGGGGAAGGCAGCATCAGGCCCCATCTGGGTCCCTCCTGGGGCCGGGGATGCCCTTCCTGGGAACCCACCTCTCTTGGGTGCCACCCCCCAGGCCCTGCAGGAAGCCCTTGTGACCTTGTCTTCCCAACTTCCTAGAGCCCTCCACACCCACCACTGTCTGGGTCTCCTGCGTTGCCTGGAGAAATGGAAAAGGGGTTCTCCCAGGGGCTAAAAGACCTGGGTTTACCGTGTAACCTAAGGTGGATGAGCCCACCTCTCTGGGCTGTTCCTCTTCCCTAAGAGGGGTTGGTAACACCTTCTCCTCCCATTACCTGGATAGTTGGAAGGATTGAGGGAAACGCGTCAAAGTGTTTTGTCAATTAGAGATGGGTGTGGGATATTATGGATTTACATTCACTATGCAGCACCCTTGTTTTGGGGTACTTTCCAAGCCTGTGTTTGAGCTTCTCTGTCCCAGACCCTATTTTGGGGGCACCCAGAGGTGAGTAAGGCACTGTGTGAGCCTTTCAGAGCATCACACAGGTAACTGCAGGCAGAATCTGCCGTTGATAAGGTTTCATGCAAAGTGAAAGCAGGAGTCTTTTTGTTCATAAATTATTAAGAGTTTGAAATTTTCACTGTGACGGCAGCATATCGATCTGACTGACTGTAAGAGTGTGGCCACTGCTCTTGAAGGATTGGGAACAGCAGTTCAAGGCTGGCCAGTGGAGCTGCCTTGTTGGAAGTGGGGCCTGATGATACCAGGTCTTCCACTGAGTGTATGTGGCGGGGTGGGGGGACAGAAATCCAGACTTTGATGTGATTTCTCCCAACTTTCAGATCTCGGTAATTCACATTCACATGTTTTTAAGTACAGAGCAGAGTAATCAAGAGTGTCAGCCTACAGGCTACCCTCTCCCATCTCTGCTCCAGAAGGGCTGTGCCTGAGGCAAGCAACTTCAGAAGTCAGGTGCAGGTGTCTTGGGGAACCACGATGCCCCAACCTGGCTGGCCCAGGCAACTCTGGAGTAGAGCGCCAGGGAGCATGACCAGAGCTCCTGCAGCTTCTGCTTAGGTGGTGAACTTAAAGACAACTTTCGTCTAAAAGGTGAGACAGAAAGAACAAGAGGAGAGACAAAGCAAGGTCAGGCTACAGCTTAGTGTGTGTGTGTGTAATTGCAGATGAGTTCCCAAGGATATTAGTATCTAATCACTCAGGGATGGTCCCAAAGGCACATCAAAACAATTTCCAGTCTGACTTTCTGGTAACTAGTGCCCAGAAAAAATATCCCCACACTCATGTCCTCAGAGGAATATCGATCCGGCAAGATTGTTTCTCAGCGAATACTCAGCCCAAGGCTGGTGCAGGAGGCCTACTGGGATCCGAGTTGCTTTCAGCTTGGACAGGGCAGGTCAGCTGCCTTGGGCATTGGGAAGGCCATTCAGGGAGGGATGATTCCACTTTTGCTAATCTTCCACTTGGATAAATCTATCCAGTTTGGTCAATTTGCCAGATAAGGTGTTTTAATTAAATCCTGATGGGCCAGGTGGATGTGCAAATGGTGTACCATCTGATGCAGTGACTTCAGAGTGTTAAAATGCTTCTACCAGTAAATAGCAGCTGCATTCAGGACACTCCCCTGCCCTCCCCAAGACCTCCCTGGGCTTCAGTACCTTTGGAGTCAGTGCTTGGCACACAGGCCTGCTCAACCATTACTGATTGCTACATACTTTGGCCCTCACCCCTCCAGACCCAAGGCAGGGGAGCCTTGGCACCGTCTTTTGTGGTGACAGAGGCCCCTGGAAAGGACAGGATGTGTCCTTACCCACAATCATGCCAACTTCACACCGATGGTCTTCGTAGTAGCAGGAGATCATTGTGGCCACAGTGTCATTCACCATTGCCACCACGTCCATCTCAAAGTCCTACCAAGAATCACAAAAGCAGCAATGACAGGACTGGGCTTCCAGCTCAGCTTGCCTTGGGCTGGTGCGGCCAGGCAAACAAGGTCAACACTTCTCTCTGGGGGGATGCCCAGAAGGACCCCCTCCACTATCCTGCCCTCAAGGGAGGGCAGCCATGGGGTAGGCAAGGGTGCCACCTTACCCCTCTCCTTTTGATGGCATCTCGCAGGAGCCCCACAATGTTGTTCCCTTCTGCTCCCGAAGCCTTGAAGCCCTTAGTCCAGTTGAGAAGGATGCCCTGTGGGAAGAGGAGGGCCTCAGTGACTGCCGATGAGTGCTGGGGGCCAAGGGCCAAGGGATAGGGAGTGAATCTGAACCACAAGGAGCTGCATCCCACTTTACAGTTGAGGAAACTGAGGGTTAAAAGAGCAACAAACCTTTAAGAAGTAGTAGAGAAAATTCTCCACAAATACCTCACATTTCTATAGGGCTGGGTCCCAGTCAATTTAAGAATGTTTGTATAGGGAAGCCCAGGGATGCCATCTAAGATTAAGGATGAGGTCAGGAGGGGAGCAGTCTTGTGCAAGAGGAGTTCCCCGCCTGTAGCTCATAACTTGTGGTCAGTCCTCTGTGTGCTGCGGAAAACCAATGAGAAGTGGCTCTTACTGCTGCCCCTGCTGTGAACCCTGAGCTGGTTTTCTCTCTGACCCAGAATTCTCACGTGCCACGTACACATGCACAATTGGCATGCGTGTCTCTGTGAGTAACTTATATGCCTATACAGGTATGTGTGTACAACTGACATGTATATGCCGCATTCACAGTAGTGCGTATTTAAAATGGACACGTGTATGTGTGAATGTACATTGTATATGTGCAGAGTTGACACATACATGTGTAGTTGTGAAGTTGAGATGGGTATAATTGACATGTGTGCATACATGCATATATAACTTATGGGTGTGGCTGTGTGCATATACATGTGTTTGTGTGTAACTGTGTCAAGCTAACATGCCAGCTCACAGGTAGGCTACAGCTTCTGCTCCTTCATGTTTCTTTCTGCGCCATGGTGGCTGGCAAGGTGCTGACCCACGGGCATGCCGGAGCCTACCTGCCTTGGCTTGAGCGGCAACACTTCCACGTCCTGCTCTTGGCGAGTTGCTAAACCTCAGCTTCCTAATCTGTTACAGGGGTGGTAAAAGTGTCCCGTAGGGTTGTGGGGGAGGCTTAAGGCAAATGGTAAGAATCAACTAATACTGTGATTATTTCCCAAAGTCTCACAGAATGTATGTGATGGAGCCATAATTGAAACCAAGGCTCTTTGCCAACATGGGGGCTGTGTTTGAAGGCACGGCGGCCTTCCCTGGGGTGCACATTCAGTCTGTCCCCCCACCTCCCTGCTGCTCCTCCACCTGGCCTGCCTTGTCAATGTCTTCATGTCTCACTGGAAAGGAGAATGTGAAGCCCAAGGGCAGCTTCTTGTGCTTCAACTGATGCTTGTCCAGGAAGTCAGAGATGCACTCGGAGATGTAGTCAAAAAGCTGGAAGACACAAACAAGATGGCCACCCCACTGCAGAGGCCGCTGAGCTCTGGCTTTCATCCCCAGGCCCTGCCTGATCAACACTGGGGCCAGAGTCCTGCTGACGGCCCCTGGGACAGGATGACACAGGATGTGGCTGCCCATAGCCCAGCTGTGCTGTCTGCCTGGCCTCCCCAGCTGGCCCCCGAGACGTTGGACAGAGATACATTCCTGGCCATAACCGACATTTCTGTCTCCTTTACCCAGAGGGTTCTTGGCTGCCTCCAGGTATCCTAGTTGGCTTATCCAGCCCCCTCCCCAATCACATGGGCCTGTCCAAGAACTACTAAGTACCTTGCTGATTAACCTCGTTCCCTTCTGGATGTTGGGGCTCAGTGAGGTACCCATACCATCCCTGCTGCCTTTACTCATGCCGGTCCCACCACACACAGGGATGCCATGAGCAGCAGCTGCCACAGAATTCCTGCCTTGAAACCCCGCCCTTGAGGCTGACCTCATGCCTGGCAGTGGTGAGGGCTTTGCTCTACCAGCCTCTCCCTGGGACTCATTCTGCTCCTGAGCCCCATCCTGAGTCAGCGTGGCCTTGCTGCTGGGCCATGATCACAGCCACTCCAGGTGGTGTCTGTGCTGGCAGAGGGCAGTGGAGTGACAGCGGGCAACTAGACCAGTGTGTTCTCTCATCTGCTCTGGCAGGTTTCTGATCCTTCTGGGAAACCCAGCAAGGGTGTGACCTGCTGGGGTCTTGCCTGGGGGAGTCTTCTACTTGGATCCTTCAGCTGTCTTTCTGGATCCTCTGAGGCTGAACTTTCTGCCCAAAACACCTCCCCCTCACCTCCCCCCACCAAATCCCTGTGAGCAGGTGGGTTCTCCTACCAGGACTAACTGAACTCTGAGATCCTGGGTGGTCTTGACCCAAGCCCCAGGCCTCTGGCCCCTGAGACCCCTGGTCCCCAGCCCAAGCTGCTCACCATCTCGGCTGTGCCCGTCATGGCGTCCTCGGGGATGGAGTACATCTGGTGCTTGGTTTTCACACTCCACTGTCCCGCCTCGCCCTCCCCCACCTTCACCAGCATCACCCTGAAGTTGGTGCCGCCCAGGTCCAGGGAGAGAAAGTCCCCGACTTCTGCAGCCACAGGAAGAAGCACATCAGCCTCATGGGCACTGCCCAGCAGGAACCCCCCAAGATCAGGGAGAAGAGGAGGGGTAGGGGTAGTTACAGGTGGGGAAGTAGCAGCAGAGCTGGACAAATGGGCTGCCAGAATAAGCTGTGGGAGGGTCGAAGATGAGCCAGAGAAGTCAGCTGAATTCCCTACCTTGGACTGAAGTCACCCTGAGCACAGGGCCCAACTGAAGGCCTAGTGATTCACCACCCTCTTTAATAAAAGATGGAAGAGTAGCACCCTTACTACCTTCACTCTTTTGGGGTCTAAGTTTCCAGGTGTTCCTACAGGATCAGCATGAACAGCAACAAGCCACCACCGCCCCAATCCAGCTACAGAGCCATGTCATTTGACATAGAAAGTCCAACCCTCCCTTATTATGCTTAAATCTCCAACCCACAGCTGAACATGGGGTGCATGTAGCAGCTACGATGAATAGCTGCCTGCCTGCCCCTTCTTAGAAATACCCAAACTTTCCTGGCAACTCAATATATGTTGCTCTCCCTTTTATTACAAATTTTTTATTATAAAATTTAAAAATCTCTACAAATCAGGGTATTGGGCCCAAAGATCACTTCACTCCTCACTTGCACAACCCAATAAGCTCCTTCTACATACAACTTCAATTGATGTTTTTGGATTCCCATTGGACAAGGGCAAGGACCCTGGGTGTTCTGCCCAACTGATTACACTAGAGAAATGGCCTGGACTCACAATGAAGCTGGGGGTTCCCCAAGTGACCATGGGGAACCAATTTCTTATTGTAAGGTAAAACATCCAGATTTCCTGAGGTTGGGGTGAACCTGAAGACCGCAGGAAAGGGCCAGCAGAACTGAGCATGCAAACCAGCTCCCTGCAAGACCCCGCATATTGGGATTTCAGTACTGGGCTGGAGGGAGCCCGTCCCAGTGCTGCTGGGGACAGAGGAGCTCTTTGGAAGGGGCTGGGACGCCTCTCACTGCTGGGGCCTGAGGGCAGCTGTCTCTGGGTGAGAACTGCCGCTTCCCAAGTGGACCGCACCCCGGCCCTGCTCGGAAGGCTGTACCTGAGCCTTCTGGGGTGGAACGCACGTAGGTGGGCAGCATCTTCACACTGGCCTCCTCGTGGGTCTCCAGTCTCAGGCCTCGGTCCATTTCCTTCTGCATCCGTCTCATCACCTTTTTCAAGTCTTCTTCTTGCAGCTGAAACTCTGCCAGGATGTGCTCCGCCTGCACGGGGAGGGGGATGTGAGCTGCTGGGTGGGAGAGGGCCCCCCAGCATGGGGAGGGGGGGCCTCAGTGTGGGGCCCTCAGCATGCACATCCACATACACTGAGTGTCAACTTTTGCCCTCTGACCCTGGGTCTGGGACGATCTATCACTCCAAACTACTACAGATAAACTAGCAAAAATTTGAACTGCTGAGTTCTAAGACTAGGCCCTAAATAAATGCAGTCTGGGGTATGTTGGGGGTTGGGGCAAGGGCAACATGGTGCCTCCCTTTGCCCCTCAGATCCCTACCTACCAAGGAGAGGAGGAAGGGATCCCTACCCCACCAAGGTAAGGTGGGGGAGACAGGGACAGGAAGAGCCAGTCTGGCGTGCGATGGGCAGTGGGCATTACTGTCCCACACCCCGCTCTTCTATTTCTAGGAAGTTATGCTAAGGAAATAATAGCTTATGCTAAGGAAATAATAGGTTAGTGGGCACAGATGTGCATCGGGGACAGGCGAGGCAGCATTAATTAGAGGAGAAGCTGGTTGGTGGGAGGTGTCTGGTTGATTAAAGCACCCCACACTTAATATCTAATCCAGGGAAATGACAAAGGGATGGGAGCATTGGCTAAGTCACTCTGCAGCTCACAGGGCCAGGAGGGTCCCTATGCTTTGTTGAGAAGGTGCTGGGTAAGCTCCCAAAGCTTCACTGCCCCATTTCTATATGATGGGCTGGGCAAGGGCGTCTCATTTTTTTCTAAGGATTTATTTATTCATGCATACAGGAACTGGGACACAGGCCAGAGGTTCAGTGGGGGGTGAGAGGATTCACCAGAGACAGAGCAGGGAGCAGAACAGGCAGATCTACTGATATACACTGCTGAGGGGAGCAGCAGGCTAGTTAGGAGGGGTCGCTACTTGGCTGGGGATCAAACTCTTGCTGCAGTGGCTGGTAATAGCTTAATAGTGCTGTCTTTAACCCCTGCGCCACCAGGGTGGCCCCATCTCCTTAAATACCTCTTAGGACGCAGCTACTGGCTCCTCCTCGGGAGCATGAGGTTGGGTGGTGGACAGAGCTGCCTGTGCCTGGTTTCCAGAGATCCCCATGCTCTGCCCCTACGGTGGATGGTGTGACTGCTCCGCCCCCTTTGCTCAATAGTGGAGAAAAGTCACTTTGATTTACTGGTTTACTGGCAGAAAGAAAAGGAAAGATTCTCTGAACAGAGTCATGGGTCAACACTTCTCTAAAATTCACTCTCTCATCTGCAGCCTTTCACGTAAGCTCAGGGGAGCAATTCCAGTCAAGAGGCCACCCAGCCGTTTGTCCCTTTTTCCTCAGCTTCCAGAGGCAACTGTTTGCTCAGAAGAGCACTTCAAAGGAAGCAGCCCCTCCTCAGGCCCAGCGGGCAGCTTGGAAGGGGGCTAAACTATCCCATCCTCTTTTGTTGGTATTTGGTTTCCAGTAGGGCATGACCAATGACAGGAGCCTGACTTTAGTAGGAGGGGGCCTCCTGGCAAGGCCAGTGCCCCTCTATCTCTGCGGACATGGCTGTTAAGAATGTAGTAAATCTGCCTCCCCGGTGGCACAGCAGGTTGAGGCCAGCACTGTGAAGCTGTCCGCAGCCTCTGCAGTGCAGGTTCAATTCCCGGTCTGCCAGGGAAATACCCACATGGCACGGCAGACCTCTCCTGTCTCACCTGTTGCTCCCCTCAGGAGTGTTTTAGATCTGCCTGCCTGTTCTGCTCCCCAGTCTGTCTCTGGTGAATTCTCTCACCCTCCCATGCCTCTGGCCTGTACCCCAGCTCTTGTATAAATAAATAAATCTGAAAAAAAAGAATGTGATAAGTAACACTGTACTTGTTATTTTGCAACTGAGGAGACAAGGCTGAAAGGAAACACTGTTAGCATATGTGTGAGATAATACAAAATGAATGAGGAACTCTGCTACCAATTCCTGGTCCTAAATTCTGGAAACTTTTAAAATTTCCTAAGTGACAAGGGCACTAGGAGCATTTTTGTTCTAATATTTAGTCCTTGACCTCAGTTCCTGACACAGGGCTCCAGAAACCTCTGAAATTTCACAGGCGATAGGAGAGTCTTTTAAAGGGGTGACTGTGGGTGGGCTCCTGGGTGGGGGCTGGTTACCAGAAAGACCCAGCCAGGATTAGAAGCTTGGAATTTCCAACCCTGCCCCTCCCCCATTCTCTTGAGAAGGAAGAGAGACTAAAAATGGAGCCAATGATCAGTGTCTGTGAGCTGCTCTAGCAAATGAGGGGGAGTGTTGTGCTGTGGGGGATGCCAGGCCACAGGCCCTCACACTGCATCCTGCCCAAAACAGGCACTGCAAGACCCTACAAGCACCACCACTGTCCACAGGGTCCACTGTGGGGACCCTCCCACTCCCTCCCGTGTGCCCATTCACTAGTCCCTGTGTGTGCCTATGGGGCAGAAGGGTGGGTTGCAGGAAGTTTCCCTGCTGTGATCCAGCACTTCAGGCGGCCACAGGCAGACACAGGCCTCCAACAGGCCTCACCTATAGGGGGTCACTTCTCAATGTGGGGAGCTCAAGCCCCTTCCTCAGGGTACATCAAGGCCGGCAGATGGTACATTTTGTCAAATGCAACATGAGGGGAGGGTGCTTTGATTTGCCTGGTGCCCAACACCCCAGGATGTGAGTATGGGCCAGGGTGGGTGGGGTTCCAGAAGGTCAGAGAAAGTATCAGGTGTAGGTCTTGCTGGGGGCAGCTCTGGTTCTCCCTTATGATTAAATCCTTATGCTTCCATCGCCCCAGCACACAGTACTTTATTATCTCCTTTTCTTACAGATGAGGAAACTGGACAAAGAGGCACACTTTCCCAGGCCCACAGTCAGAGGGCTCAGAGATGGAGCTTGAACCCCTGAGCCCACCTCCAGACCCCTCTGGGCTGCTTCCTGCCCTGCGCAGGGCCCAGCCCTCAGCCCTTCCTGGAGCCCAAACCCTGCCTACAGAAGTCTCTCGCACAAGTGTCCTGGTCGTCCACAAGCAGCTTAAAGGACTTCCCTGAAAAAGCCAGCAGAGGAACCTGAGAAGCAGCCCGTCTCCCTCCCCCCCCCACCTTGCCCCCCACCCCCAGAACAAACAAAGCACAGACAAGTCTCCCTCTCCCAGGAGGTCACAAGACACATTAATGGGGCTCACAGCTACACCCAAACACAGGGAGTTTCCTGCCTGAGCAACTCCCCATGCTCCAGGCAGGGTCACTGCTGCCCTTTGGCACTGGTTGGTTTTTTTTTTTTTTTTTTTTTTTTTTTTTTTTTGGTGTAGAAGAATGGGGTGTAGGCCAGAGATGTGGGGGTGAGAGGATTCACCAGAGACAGAGTGGGGAGCAGAACAAGCAAACTGACTAAAGTACACTGCTGAGGGAGCAGTGGGTGAGTCAGAAGAGGTCTGCTGTGCCATGTGGGTAGCTCCCTGGCCGGGGGTCACACTCAGGCTGTAGTTGTGCTAGTGCTGAGACTTAACCCCTAGGCCACCAGGGAAGGCCCCTGACCCTGTCTTACCGGCAATTGCCCACAGCATTCTGCGTGGGACACTGGAGAACAGACCAGACCCTCCCCTTCAGGGAGCAGCAGAAAATAATGACATATTAATAGTGACTCGTTAGTGGACTGGTGGAAGGAAATGAAGCAGGGAGGAGACTGGAAGGGAACTGCTGTTTCACAGGAAATGGGAAGGATACCTTCACTGACAAGATGCCTGGAACACAGACCTCAGGGCCCAGGCTTTATCAAGGGATGAGAAGCCAACAGGCACTGCCCTGGGCACCATGTGGGATGCATCAAGAGGCAGAATGGAAGTAGGGGCATCAGGCTGTCCCAACAACCCAGGTGGGGTGAGGAGTGCTGAGTCTAGATTTAGTCTATAGGTAGGGCAATAACATTTGCTGACAGATTGAGGTGTGGAGGAGAAGAAGAGGGGGGCTCCACAGGTTTGGTCTGAGCAAACAGGAGGAGTGGTCCCGTTCTCAAGATGGGATGCATTTGGGTGGGAAAATGAGTTTGAGATGCTGACAAGAAGAGATCGGCACTAAGTAGTTGTTGGGTGTGTGAGGCCAAAGCAAAAAAGATAGTCTGACTGGAGATTTTTTAAATCTGGAAGCCATCAGCATGTGGACAGTATACAGACCAGACAAACTCATCGGGTATACAGGTTGGGAGCAAAGCAAGAGAGGCTGTGCTGGTTGGGCAGCAACATGGGGGGCTGGGTTTTCAGGACTCAACTTTTATATGGCACTTTTATATGGCCTTTTATATGGCACTCAGAACTTTAGGACTGTATCCTCAAGAGCCAGGAAAGAAGACAGGACACCCATTGAGCAGATGAGAACTGCAGGTGCTTCCCACACAGCATAACATGGGGAAAGGCTCCCACATAGAGCTGGGAGCCCCGGAGAGCTAGGAAATGAGGGCCCCCTGACTGGAGCATTGCCCAGAGCTTCTGCTTGGAGAACACTCAGCAGGTGACTGCTAAACTCCTTACCCACTACTATGTGGCTTGGAGGGGTCAGAAGGCAAAGGAGGCCTGCATGGGGTCAGAGGTGACAAAGGCCACAGGGACAGGATCATGGGGTGGTACCCTATGCCCCCTGCATGTTGGAGATGGGTAGGTGGTGGAATTTGGGGCCCAGAAGTTCTAGAGAGGCAGCAAATTGATCTATTCACTTTCTAGTCCTTAGATAGTGGGGCAGGAAAGCCTATGAAGAGCCTGGTAGTCACGGAAGGAGCTACTGAGAGGACTGGCCTGCGCAGGCCCTGGAGTCCAGGCTTGGTCTTGGGCCAAGGGATCTCTGGCAGATTTTCACCTGAGGAAAAGGGCTGCTTTGTGTTTCATGCAATCTGGGCTGGGCGGCACTTGGTCAGAGAGAAGCAGGTTGGTAACAGAGGCAGACCCCTCTGAAAGCAGAGCATAACGGGCACAGGACATGGAAGCTGGGACCTCCAGGGACCCTCCATCCTCCCCTGCCCCCTGTAGCCTG